CGACGCCGAGTCAAGCAGGTGCATTCCGCCGTTGCACTCCGATGCGAGACCGTCGAATTTAAACACCGCAAACCGTCAACACATCGCGCCGAAACATCAATACCGCGCCCGCTCACCTCTAACACCGCGAGCTCCACTGGCCGAGCGTGTCACGTCTGCTCCCAATAGATTCCGAGAAGGTAACACCGACTAAGCCGACGTCATCATGTAAACACGGGATTCCGTCGCCAGTATTGTCACCTGAATAATAGCTGGTTTGAAACGACGAAGTTAAAGCACGGCCCGTCGATAAGATTATCTTGTAGCAAACAAGGTGGGATAATTTAATAAACAGCTTATTATTTCCATGCGCATTCGATCACTCACTCACTCACTCACTCACTCACACTCGCACTACAAAGACCCCTGGACATCCGGCGAGCTACGCCAGGGCTACCGACACCGAAACACGGTCGACCAGCGAAACCAGCAACGACCACCCCGTCGGCCGGGACGGGACGAACGTCCACCGATCGACGGAGGCCGGGTCACACTGTGTAGATCGATTGGATAGGCAATTGAGCTGTACTCGCGTCCATTGACCGACTGTTTCTGCTGGACAACGCGTGCGTACCGCTCATTCTACGGGCCGATCTCGCGATCTTTGCGAGAGTGGCGTGTGTATGCAACGAGCGGGCCACGCTCGATCCGACCACGCGCCTGTGCATGCTAGCGGACGACGGTTTCAATCCGGACACATTAGAGACGACTGTAGCGACTGTAGCGATGCAGAGCTGCGTGGAGATGTTGTCCACGCTCTCGACCTTCTTATCGCCCGATTCCGCGTATGATGTGAAGGCAAGCGAATCTGGAGACCGCGGAGCCGTTTATCCCGCGTGCGTACGCGTCAAGACGATGGTTTCTGGCCGCGTTATACCGTCACCGGATGCCAACGCTCGATGTTTCGCCCTCGCTGCAAAAGTAAACATTTCCATTGCTGCGAAAAAATGCTCGCGTCGCAGGGACCGGCATTGTAATGTACTGCCCCAGTCACCGCGAAACGCTATGTTTGTGTTAGTGCTGACTCTTATTCTGCCGACGTGCCTTTTTGCGTTCTTCAACGATTGCCAATTCGAGGAAAGCACCGTCGATGTGGAACATAACAGCAGCTGCAGCAGCGGTTTTACCGAAGGCTTTTTTCGCATAGAAAGTTCTCCCACAGAGGGTTCTTCTTTCAAAGAGGGATCTTCTCGCACAGAAAATTTTTATCTCGCAGAGGGGTCTTCTCGTGCAGAAGGCTCTTCTCTTGCACAGAGCTCACGCAGAGGGCTGTTCTCGCGCAGAGGGTTACACTCGCGCAGTTTCTAAAGATGTCCAACGCACTGGCTATCAACGACGTAGAGCAAGACGCGTACGATCGTGCGATGGATCAGAAACTACCGTCGGTGCCGAAAGTCACGCCGTAGCCGCCGTTGTCATCGGTATCCGCATTGGAGCAACAGAACACGGAAGCGCCTTGATACTCGCGCTCTCCGCTCGTGCATCCCACGGATTTCATATTGCTGCCGAGTGACCGAGTGACAAACGACAAGGGTGTCGTGCGTAAGGACATAGTGAATCTCACTCCCACGATAGATTTCGCTCGACGTTACAGGAAGGATCTGCACGTCAAGCTGTTTCGGGAAGCTAAATTTAGCAAAGACGCTACGATGACGACGACGAACCACAACTCCCGTCTCCTACGTAATCTGTGGCTAATCTACGAGTTGAAGGCGTGCGGAAAGCAGAAGGAACGCAAGGCAAAGTGTCACCACAA